TCCAAATTTGTTTCTTCCCCTGCTTGGGGACTTGCTCTTTCTTCTTTTGTGCCCGTCACTACCTGTGTTGTCACTGTCTCTTTTTCTTTTTTTTTTGTCGGGTTGTCAGTCTTCTAGTTTATTTCCTCTTCGGTTCCGATGAATTGGTCGGCTAGCTTGAGGAATTCAGTGATGTCTTTTGGTTTATTGGCCACCACATGCCATTTAAACTCCCTGTAAGTTATTCCTTTCTTAGCTGTCGTGAATCTTACCTTCGGGTCTAAGTCGGGGATCTACAGGTAGGTGTTGTTGAAGCGCTTGATGTAGCTTCTAATTGAATCTCCTTCTCTCTGAACCACGTTGAGGAGGCTCTCTTGCGACCTCGGGCACTTCTTACTAGTGATGAAGTGTGAGATAAACAAATCTGCGAACTGCGCCTAGCTCTTGATCGATCCCGGCGCGAGATTCTGGTACTAGGTCCGAACTACCCCCTTAAAAGTGGTGGAGAAGGCCACGCGCATACAAGACTCATCAGCCCCAGCTAGGTGCATCTGGGACTGGAAGGAGTCCACATGATCGTTAGGATCAAAAAACCCGTCATACTTGTCCAAGGGGGGCATCTTGAAATTTTTGGGCATCGGGGTTGCTAAGAGCTCGGGAGACAAGGAGACGACCTGGAAAGTAGGGGAGGAGCAACCTTTGTAGCTACCAAGCTCGCCTCCTCCTTACCTTTAGCTTATACTTCTTGTTGGTTCGGTATCGTTGGCTGGCTATTCTAAGCTAAAGTACGGTGTTCCTTGTGACGCCTCCGTTGTTGCCTCTTTACCGGCTCAGCATTGATGCTATTGATTTCGGTATGCTCCAGTACTGTTTTGCCGCGAGGTAGCTCCTGGTTCCTCGTGGGGTTCTGGGGCTGGCTATCATGGACGAAGAGGCCCTACCTTGAGTTCGCACCCCGAACCCCGAACTGGTTACCTGCAAGCGACCCGTCTTCGCCTTGGTGGGGAGATCGAATGATGTCCTGGTTCACGCGAGGTTGGTTCTGATTCTGTTGCGCCCCTGGGTGCCGAGGTTGAACCGGCTGTTGGTTCTGCGGCAGTGGAGGGAACTGCTGCTGGTAGAAGAGGTATTACTGGAATTACTAAACTTGCTGCATTTGGGCCTGGATGGCCCGGACACACTGCACCCGGTCGTCAAACTGGGACTGTCCTACTCTGGGGGGAACCATAGAAGGCTCAGAAAAGGTTGTGCCTACCACTGGGGGAAGTGGGGCATTCACCTGTGTGGTGTTTGGTGGCTTGGTCACCGTTGGAACCCCAGCCACAGTAAGCGGGATGGTGAACTGGTTGATGCACACTGAAGGGAGTTGAGGTTATCCCCTGAAGATGTTCATCTCGCTGCTTTGTCCGGCGTGACTGGAAGTTGCCATTGATGTAAGAATAAGGTTGATGACTGTAAAGAAGAAGATGACTTTTCGATCGAGTTCCCACAGACGGTGTCAATTGATGTAGTGTGATCTGACTACTCCCTACTAGAGGATGACTTGGCTTCCAATCGAGCAGCAAGCTAGGTGAATCTGCAAGACAACGGATCAGAGAACCTGGGGTGGCTAACCCGGTGTGGTCGCTTTGATGCTTAAGTTAGTAAACTGTGATGCGAGCTGAAAGTTTTGAGAGCTAGAGAGCTAGAGAGTAGAAAAATCATGCGTACCTTGTGTAATTGGGGTTGGTGCCTTTATATAGTTGAGCCCTCGCGGGTTTTGCGGATCGGTTCCGGGATTTTCATCCTAAGGGGATCCGTTTCCGCTTTAATTGGGGGGTAACGTATCAATTAATAAAGATTATCAATTCCACTCAATCCGGGCAGGGAGAAGATTAGGCCTGACGTTACGCGGCATGATCCCGTGAGGTTCGGAGTCTGTTGGAGAGACTTTTGGGATCGTTACGTGGCGGTCCGGGTCGGTAGCCCCGAGTTGATATTTCAGTCTTTTAGTTCCGAACTGGATTGAATGCCGAGGTGACTCTGCGCCGAGGTGACCCTATGCCAAGGAGATTGAATACCCGAACTCAATTATTGGAAACTAGGCTTGCCGGGCTGAGTTTTCATCCCTTAGTCAGGTTATGTCCACGTGTCTCCTTCTCGCTAGATCGGGCCAAATCATCCTTCATCAAGGACCGAGGACCCATGGATTAAAGAAAAATGTGCCATTTTATTATGGTTTATTTGAAAAAAAAAGAAATGATAATCTATTATGCAATGACAACACTCCCCTGCCCATTCTAACTAAAAAAGTTGTTAGTCATTTTTCGAACATTAAAGATAGCATGAGGATGAGTGAATTGAATAGCAACAAATCTTGGAAGCCAATCCGGGAGGGAGTTGTTAAAATTGATTTCGATGCCTGTTGCAACACGGATGGTCTGTGCTCTATTGCTTGTATTGTGGTTTGTGAGAGACCATCTTGGCAAAGTATTAGATACAAAATATTTCTGCATAGGTAAGATGTCAATGAATGTTACAGAAGCTTGGGTAGTTTGGGAAGCCCCATAATGTTGCTTTGAATTTTAGGGACTTCAATATTATCTTTAAGGGCGATTCTAGACTTGTCATTGACGAACCAGATTGTGGATTTGCCGTGAAATCTGAGGTTGATGTTGAGGAGTGTTTGAAGTTGCATGTGCTTTTGGATGGTGGGTGCCGCTACATGCATATTTATTGTGAAGCTAACCAAACAATGAATTGGATGAGTCCTGCAAATTTCAGAAACGTGGTCTTTGATGCATCCAATTTTTCATGGGTCTTTCTCGTTTATTTGTTTTTGTGATTTATGGGACATCATAGTTGTCAAGGCGACACCTAGCACCCTTGGAGGCTCGTCTCGCCCAGTCGCCAAGCAGTTTTGTGCACTGGGTTATAAAATACTTATATTTTTAATTTTTTGACATTATAATTATAAAATAGACATTATTAAACTAGACTATTCGTTTTATGTGTTTATATACTAATTTTTTATTATTTTCTTATTTTGTTAGGGTTTAATCAACACAAACATTGCTAACTGTTGTATTGAACCCATGGTTCACAGTATCGATACACCTTTATGTATTGGTAGATGTGTATCAGTACTTATAACTATACTCCCCCTATTTTTTTTTTATTTTTTTGGTTTTTAAAAAATGGGTCATTGAAAACACCTATAAACAGGTATCGGAACCCCAAAGATACAATATAATACACCCGATATGGGGCGTATTGTATTGAAATTTTGATCCTTGGTTGAACCCTCAAAAATTTCAAAACCTGAACCAATAAGCAAGGGAAGAACTTAAAATTTTGTCTAATCAACACATTTTCTTCTTCCACATCTTCTTCTTTTTCTTCCACCTTTTCTTTTCTTCTTTCCTATAACAAAAGTAGGGGTTCAACCCCTATATTTTTTGAATTTTCATTCATTTGTTATTTTTCTTCTCATAAAATGTTGATTTTCTAGACTTAAACATGAAATTTATACGTCTCTTATGAAAATTATGAATAATAATTAAAGAAAGATAGTTATGGAGCCTAGGGAATCTACCCTATGATATATGGTTTTACTTAAAAAAAATCTATCGCCTAGGCGCCTAGGCGACAAGGCCCCTTGTCGCCTAGCCTCACCTTGGCGTCTTAAAAATTATGTGGGACATGCTCCCCGTCTTGTGTAGCACCCTTTTAGTTATATAAAAAAAAATTAATTACTTACATATACCTTGTATATTTAAAAAACTACCTAAATGTATCTTAAACTTTCAAAACCTAGTTATACATGCCTTATTGACTAGCCCCACATAACACAAATAGGATCAATGTTAGCGTATCAATATTGTCTACAGGTTTTATGACTAAAAATCGAAACCTAGAAGTCTTTTGTATTGAAGAGGTAGACAACCGATAAAACTAGAACTAATAACTCCCCCTTTTAATCTTACCTGATGAACTCAAGGAAAATAATAATAATAATAAAAAACAGATGTTCGATTATTAGTTTTATGACTAAAAACCAACACTCAGAAAATTTTTGTACTAAAGAGGTAGACAGCTATAAAAACCAAAACTAATAACTCCCCCTTTTAATCTTACTTGATGAACTCGAGGAAAATAAAAAACACAGATTCTTGACCATTAGTTTCTAATGTTCTAAGCTTCTAACTCTAGTCTCTTTCTCTCTCCGTTTTATGAAATAGAATTAGAGGAATCATTCCTCTCTCTCTCCCTCTTGGGTACTTTTAAGAAGAAGAATTTAACAAACAATTAAGGATTTTTTTGTCTTTTACATTTTATATATTATACTTAACTTTAAAAGGAGATATATATAAATAGGTTTTGAAAGTTCAGGGTATTTTTAATTTGTTTACTATATATATATATATATATATATATATATATATAAAGCTTAAGCTTGGATTCAAATTTGAACAATATAAATGAACCAAATTTGGATCTGTAAGACTGCGTTTGGAAACGATGCAAATGGAGTATAAATCCCGGTTTAGGATAAATTTACACTGAGATTCATTTTTACTTGCGTTTGGCAACATTACATTTATGCATTGACAAATGACAAAACAATGCATATTTACCTTGATAATAAGATGTAAAAGTACATCAAGTGGGCTTTTGATAAAAAAGACATATACTTTATTGGAATTCACTTTTGCATTCATTATAATCTGTTTGGTAAGAAGATAAATTTATCAATGCAAAATTAGCCCAATTTTACAATTTACATGAATTATTTTACACTTACATATTTGTATTCACACTTATTTGCATCATTTCCAAAAGCAGCCTAAATGTGTTACCTTACCTCACTACCAAATTCAAATGGTCTGACTCATTCAACCTGGAGGGGTCCGAACCCGTGAACCGTCACTCAATCAAAAAAAGCGGGTTGACCGCCGGATCTCGGGTCTTAAAACACTATTGGCCGTTGCGTAGTGCACAAACAAATTAGTGGAAACGTCGGTGACATTGCGCCGTAGGAGTTAGGACTTAAAAATCAAACGTATCTGGCAGTCCGTCTCTGTCTCTGTCTGAGTAAAAACACTAACTTCTCAATTAATACCACGTTTTAGGAGGCCCTGAACCCATTACAGACGCTGCACAGCAATTCTGCGCTTAGCTCTCTCCTCCTCTCGCTTTCTGCTTTTGTTCTTCTTCTCTCTTCTGGCTGCGGAAGAGGAGAGGAAATGAAGAAGGTAATGGCGTCTTCTCTCGTTGTTCTTCTACTGATCTTGTGTTCGGGGAGTCAAGTGAGATCGGATGCGTCTGATCATCGCTACAAGGCGGGAGATCCGGTGCCTCTTTACGCCAACAAGGTTGGTCCGTTTCATAACCCCAGGTGAATCGACCAATTCCTACTTTGTTGATGTTTCTAGGGTTATTGGAGCTGATTTGTGATGGCTGTGCGTTGATCGCTTTTTGATCCGTGTGGGTTTGGTTGTTGACTTTGTGGTGCTGGGATTTTTTGGGGACTTGTAGGGTTTTGGAGGATTTTGAGAGCTTGGGTTTGTTATTTTATTGGATGAATTTATGTTATTGGAATGCGTAAGGTAAACTGGTGTGTGGATGTTGAAATTGGATCTGGGTTTATTTGTGGGAGTTGATAATTCGAATTGGGATTTCGTGATAATGAGAGGTCTTTTGATTGATTGTAGACTTGTAGTCCATTTTTCTTTAGTTTGATATGAGCACAATTTGATCTGGTTTCTGATGGTTTTGTTCTTGATAATTGAGATGGCCTGATTTTGTTCTATTGTTACTTTCAGCGAAACGTATCGTTATTTTGATCTACCCTTCTGTTCGCCAGGTTTGCTTCTTGCTACGTGTTTTTTGGTATCCTTCTGTCTTCTTCAACTTACTTATATGGAATCTCATTTTATGTCTTGGGTTCCTATTGCAGGTCATGTGACCGAGAAAAAGGAAGCTCTTGGTGAAGTCTTGAATGGAGATCGTTTGGTCAGTGCACCTTACAAGCTTGACTTCCTTTCCGATAAAGACTCTGAACTTGTTTGCAGAAAGAAGCTGACAAAGGAAGAAGTTGCTCAATTCCGGAAAGCAGTTTCCAAGGATTACTACTTCCAAATGTACTATGATGATCTTCCAATCTGGGGTTTCATAGGGAAAGTTGACAAGGAAGGCAAGGCTGACCCAAGTGAATACAAATACTTCCTTTATAAGCATATTCATTTTGACATCCTTTACAACAAGGACCGTGTCATTGAGATTAATGTCCGGACGGACCCTAATGCATTGGTGGATCTCACTGAGGATAAGGAGGTTGATGTGGAGTTCTTTTACACTGTGAAATGGAAGGAAACCACCACTGCGTTTGAAAAGAGGATGGAGAAATACTCATCATCCTCCTCACTTCCCCATCACTTGGAAATCCACTGGTTCTCAATTATAAACTCATGTGTTACAGTTCTTCTCCTAACTGGGTTTCTTGCCACCATTCTCATGCGAGTCCTTAAGAATGACTTTGTCAAGTAAGAAACATTTTGAAGCTTTTAGTTCTGCATAAATATGTAAATATTATATTTTAGATGTGTGATATTCGTTTCTTGTTTGGTTCTTAATTCTTGCTTATGGTTTATAAGATATGCACATGATGAGGAGGCAGCTGACGACCAAGAAGAAACTGGATGGAAGTATATTCATGGTGATGTGTTCAGGTACCCAAAGCACAAGTCTTTGTTTGCTGCAGCCCTTGGTTCTGGAACGCAGCTTTTTACCCTGTAAGTGCCTTATCAGTCCTGTTTATTGGAAACCATGATATTTTATGATAGTTGTTTGTCATTAATTGTTTATTGATCACATTACTGTGTTTCGTTGTATCTTTTTGCCAGTACGGTGTTCATTTTCATTCTTGCGCTAGTTGGTGTATTTTATCCATACAACCGAGGAGCTCTGTTCACTGCACTTGTTGTTGTATATGCTCTTACATCAGGGATTGCAGGATATACTGCAACCTCTTTCTATTGTCAGCTTGAAGGAACAAATTGGGTATGCCCTCGTCGATAATTTCTAAGATGGGATTATTCATTTTGTAACATATTTCAGTCATATATTAGATCAATTTTTCTGATATTTTTGTCAAATTTTGAGATGTGACAGGTAAGGAATATGTTGTTGACAGGATGCCTTTTCTGTGGACCTCTATTCCTCACATTCTGCTTCCTTAATACTGTTGCGATTGCTTATAGTGCCACTGCAGCACTGCCATTCGGCACAATTGTGGTGATAGTTCTTATATGGACATTAGTAACATCACCTTTGCTTGTGTTGGGTGGAATTGCTGGTAAAAACAGTAAGTCCGAGTTCCAAGCACCTTGCCGCACCACAAAGTATCCCAGAGAGATTCCACCATTGCCTTGGTACCGAGGGGCTCTTCCTCAGATGGCGATGGCAGGGTTTTTGCCTTTCAGTGCTATCTACATCGAACTTTACTACATATTTGCTAGTGTCTGGGGTCACAGGATTTACACTATCTATAGCATCCTTTTTATTGTCTTCATTATTCTCCTGATTGTTACTGCCTTCATTACCGTAGCATTGACATACTTCCAACTTGCTGCGGAAGATCATGAATGGTGGTGGAGGTATGCAAACTTTCTTCGAGTTTTGGTTTTGTATATGTTTAAATTATACCATTCTGACATGCATTCATCAAGAAGGAATGCTTGTCAAGGAACTTCTAATTGCTGGTTTCAATGTATTAATGGTGCTTCTCATATTTTGAAATTTAAGGGTTCTACAAAGTACCGCATCATCATCCAAAATTTCAAAAGTTTTATTACAACATTGCTCATTGCAAGAAGTTATACCTTTTTTTTTTCACCTCTGTTATGTTGCATCTGCTCTTATTTCGTGGCAACTTTGTCAGTCATGATTCTATAATGAACCATTTCTTCAGTGTTAGTACATTTTGTTGGACCTACATACACCTTATCAGAAATTTTAGAAATGCAAATTGGTTTTGGTTGTTTCAATGCTTTATTGAGGTCCATTTGGAGATCAGATATTGAACACTAGCACTGCTATATTTGTTAGATCTGATTCTGTGCTTCTACTTAAACCTGTAAACCACATTACTGCCTATTTGAAATGCAGGAGGAATGAGACATATTGCATGTAGCTGTGTAGCTTTGGTATCTGCAACAAAATATATTTTTTTTCTTGAGGTTGTTCTTATGATATATGTGATTAAAACATGGTAAATTTGCCTGACTACAAATCAAAATGGAAGTTCTAACCTGTTCAAGTGTTTTCTTACAAATTAAAATGTTCAAGAAAATACATTAATATTGTTTAAATTAGAATTCTATTACAGTTAGATTAGAAATGGTTAATTCAAGTGATTGCTTGCAAAGTTGGTCTCCTTTAAAAAATTCATTAGGTCAGAGAATGGTAAAAAGTAGGGGTGATCATGGGCCAGGCCGGGCTTTGCACTTATGATAAGGGCTATAGCTTAGGCCCGGGCCCAGCCCGGCCCAGGGTTCTGGGCCTGAAACAGAAGCCCTAGCCCAAGTCTATACGCCTGATTCCGGGCTAATATCACTCATATATAAAACATTAAATATCTATATATTAAATGATGTAACATGCATATAAACTTATTTTATACATTATATAATATAAAATATTACATATAATATAAATTATACATGTCATGTTATAATATTTATATATAAAATATATAATATAATGTAAAATAACATGTATACATGTGTACATTATACACAAAATGTGTAAGTTTAAATATATGTGGGCTGGGCCGGGCTTGAAGTATTAAGCCCAAGCCTGGCCCTAAAATTTGCGGGCCTGATGTGGGTCCGGGCCCTGGCCGGGCCTGAACACAAAACCCAGGCCCAAGCTTGGAATTTCTGGGCCAGGCTTGTGTGGGCCAGGCCAGGCCGGGCCGGGCTGGAATGATCACCCCTAGTAAAAAGTGCTGTGTTTGCTAGAAGATTATTGCAATGGTAAATCAGTAATACCAATTTCAAGAAGAGTCAGGTGACAGTTGGTATCCATATTATTTTGGTGACTGCAATAAAGTCAATGTTATCAAATCAATAAATAATTGATTGTTCGTTAAGTTGTGCAAATTTTGTATATAGTGAATATTTATATCTTTGAAATGTCCACTAGATCCAGCTTCTGTAAGTTATAAATATGAACTAATTTCAAAGCAATAATTGCTAAAAATTTTTGACGACCAATTCAGACACCGGACTGCAGGGACTGGAAATTCATGGTCCAATGGAGATCAGATTACATGCCATGTTTATGACATATACACTCACATGAAATAGGAAAATTTTCACAAATGAAAGCAAAATGAGCATTTGTTGTGAAACAATCAATAAATTAGTGAGGTAATAATTCCAAGTGGGATGAAAGAAAGGAATTTATAGATTTATCCCTTTGATAACCAGCATTGTATGGTTATCTTTAGCATTTGCCTTTTGACATACGTTTTTCTCTGTCATTGGTGATGCTTCCATTAATACTTTTCTTTTTTTAATGTCCTCTTCCCTTTGTACAAGTCTAGCTATGCTTTGTTCAGTTTGTCTTATTTTTCTTTGAATTACTTCAAGCCATGGATTTGCTTGGCCATTTACATTTAATAGGGTAGACCAGTGTTTATAATCAGATTGTTGTGAAATGTAATCAGCTTGTTGCCAGTGCATATAGGAAATATTCTAATGGCATTTTAGATGGGGGAAAGAGTATCAGCAAAATTTTGTTTATTTTTAAAGAATAGTGGAAATTGCTTGCTTCCACCATTATGAACTCTCAATTTAGATGTGGCAAGCTGACTTCTTTTTGGATTTTAATTGGGAGTACAAAATTTCAGCTGTGGTAGCTAGTTCAAGCAATTTAAGGTTGATTTGCTGGGTCAAAGGGACCCAAGGTTCCATAGTTGTATGGGGCCTTCTTACCTTGGTAATATCTAGACATTTGGGACAACAGGAATAGAGGGACAAGTATGTCTTCTTCAAATTGGTGGGTTCTAGTATCAGAGCCCTTCTATTTGTGGACAGATATGGTCTTGTTTACAAATTGTGGCACTCTGAAATTCAGTGAAGCACAACCTTCGATCACCTCCTAATTTCACCACTCATATTATGGATGTATCATTTCTTTGTTGAACACTGTAGTGAATGATCTTCCATTGTCCTAATGCAAAAGCATCTGTTTATATTGCTGGTTGGAATGGTACTCCTGAAGTGCAACTCCATTTAGCATTTCTGCAGTGACTTGTTATTTGTATTTTTCAAAGTTGTCACCGTATCAACCGTTTTTGTTAGATATCAAATTCACATAACATATTTTTTCAAATCCATTTGTTTGATAATATGTGAAAATGCCGTGGAGGTTTTGCCTCTTTGGTTTTTAACTGCGGATTCTAAGGCTGATTATTCTGAGAATTGCCTTCAATAGTTTTTTTTTTTTTTTTTTTTTTTTTCTTTTGATGAATAACTGCCTTTAATAGTTGCTTAGAACATCTAGTAATTGAGTCATTGTTAGTTAGCTGGGGCAAGGTTTGTTTAAGTTAGGTTTCTCGGTTCTATTTTTCTTTTTTCCTGTCTTAGATTGGTTTTATCTGCTGGGCCCATAGGGTGATATATATGCGTTGATTTGTCACAGGTCATTTCTCTGTGGAGGGTCAACAGGCTTATTTATCTATGGCTACTGTTTGTACTATTACTATGCACGATCAGATATGTCTGGTTTTATGCAAACCTCGTTCTTCTTTGGGTACATGGCTTGCATCTGCTATGGTTTCTTCCTCATGCTTGGGACTGTAGGTTTCCGTGCCTCGTTGCTTTTTGTACGTCATATATATCGGTCCATCAAGTGTGAATAGAGGGTTGGTCGACACCCGAGTCATCAGGTATGTTTCTTCCTCTTTCTATAGGCTCTGTTATAGGGAAGGTTATATGATTTTTGTTATAGGTAGACGGAGAGTACCTCTGATCTTAGAAAACAGAAGTTGGGTCTCTCTCAAGGTCATGTTTTCCCTAAATGGGTTGGAGATTTATGTAATGCTGTTACTAGAGGGAGTACGGCACATCACGAGTTGTTTGTATCGGGGGGTATCTGTTATCTGAGAAGACAATCTGGGGCAACTCGGCAGAAGATTGTATCATTAAAAATTTTCTTGTCATTTACAGTCCTTGGTTCATCCTTCAGAAAAGTCCCCCTTTCCTTTTTCTTCTGGATTTATTCAGAATAGAGCTTCCGAGATTAAAACCTTATATTTTGAATTTGCAGGCATCAACCTCAAGTTCGTATTTGGACAGGTTTAACACTGATAATTGAGTAATCACTTGTTACAACTCAACGATCTAGCAAGTATGGTTTGATTTTGATTTTTTTTTGGCGGGGGTGGGGTGGTATTAACAGAAATAAACCACTAACTTAATGTAGAACACGCCCCATAATGTATAAAAACCCAATCAATTTGTCTGTGTGGGATTATCAGAAAAAAGCTGAATTGCCAACTTAACCATGGCTCCATGGCTGATTCATTCATGAAAGTATGAAACTTGATGGAACCAGTGCTTCTGGCGGGTTTAAGTCTTGGCTCGGTCTGAAAGCAAAACCATCCTCATCCTGATTTCGATATGTAGAAGATAACAACGAAAATGGCCGAAGCTATTGAAGTATGCATTTATAGCTTATGAAACCAAAATAAATCTGTTTAATGTTTAAAATTACTAAGGTGGTGTTTGGATAGATTTTGTACTGTGTAGTTTAAAGTGACAAAGTTTTAAGGTAAAATATAATGGCCTCCCCATTAGTTTCATTTTTACAAACACCCCCCTCCCCCTGAACTTTAGAATTCAACATCTGGTTCAGACATTTCCTGCTAAAGCTAACAATATGTAAAATGGTCATCAGGAATTTGATAAATTGAAGGGTTAGCCATGAACCTTGTCATTGAAAGCTAGAGGTATGGTTTTCCCTCCACATCTGAGAATTGCACGAGCACCCCGCAGTTGGCAACAATGGTGCTATCTGCAGTGATGACACCCACTACACAACTGTGGACTTGACTTTTTCTGACGTCAATGTAGGGGGGCTTCCCGATATGTCCCTACCATGGTTCAGGGTGTAGATGGGCCTTAAACCAATTAAAAGAGAATTAAAAAAAAAAAAAAAGAGAAATGAGCCTTGATATAGGCCGCGACAGTATTGATATTTTATACGGAGTCACTACTTTCCTGCACGCGCATGCTCCAAGTTCCATCCTTTCAAAGCACTCCCCATCCATGATCTTCATCGCTCCTATTGTGCGGTTCTACCACTAACATTGGATTCTAACTCCTCCGACATTGACCCCTCTAAGAACACATACATCGCTCCTTACATAGTTCAGCCGCCTAGATCATGTTAATATTTTAGTAACAATATTTTATATTTCAAATAAAATCTCATTTAGAAATAAGAACCCCATGGCTGTCATACACAACAAAGAAATGCAGTGGTCGTCTGTTGCTGTTGGTAATCTCAGGCTGACGCCGGACAGGTGTTTAGTCATATATATAAGCAATCGTCCATCTCACGAAGTCGACCGCATAGTCGACGAAGTTCCTGCTTCCCAGCTTTCTGACAACAATAATGAAGAGGACGGAGATGGACGGTTAGACATTTCACCTGTTTCATTTCTTTTCCTCTTATCTGAATGACTGGATTTATCTCGTTGTTTCTCCTTATGACTTAAAACTGTCTGGTGAAGTTGACTTCGAACCGGGCACTATGGCGGCGTTGGCAAGTTTCCTTAGCTCCATTCGCCGGCAGTGAACTTCTTGGCAGTTTGTGGGGGAGCCATCGCTTCTCTTTCAGTCTCCCATCCTCTGTCTTTTAGTACATGATAGTGACAATTGAGCTTTATTTCACTGGTATCACCATAAGAAGTGGATTACTCAATGATGCAGGTCATGGTTCTTCAAAATTTGGTCCCTGTTATTGTTTTATAATACAGAGTTTGAACCCTAATTGATTTGTCTTTTCGACTAATGAACAGAGTAATGGCTTTACAAAGGAAATAGAAGAACACTCACCACTAGAAAATTTCCCAGAAAATGGAAATCATTCTTTGGCAAAGGGAATATTCCGAGCAATGGCACCGCTGCAAGTGTTTAGTGCTGTTAGGGTTTTAAATTCTTTTCTTTTGCTTAAAAAATAATGAAATCCAAATCATGAAAAAGTTGGTGGTGGAATGAGAGTTTGGCTTCAGTCCAGCCACGTTGCGTCTAGGCAACTTTCGCACATTTGGAGAACACACTATGTGTCTCCAAATCGTGTGAAGGGCTGAAGCGTGCAAGAAGTTCATGCTCCTTTCCTCTCCTCTCGTAGACGAACCTCATGCTCTCTCTCCCCATCTGCCCGGCGGCGACTGTACAATCATCACCGCCAGCGATAAACTATCATCATTGGCGGCGGGATCAACCATAGGTATTGTATTTTTTGCATCTCTTCTTCCATCGCAAGTAATGAAGAGTTCACCAACTACAATTCTTAAACGCACGCATCGCTTGTTGATTGAAATTTACTCTCTCCATGCCCTAATTGTGGGGAATACTTTAGTAAACTTCGGCAATTAGAAACCATTCTCCTCCGGAATCCCAGAACAAGTTTTCAAGTGTCAAATAAAGCATCTTACAGAAGGTAATGAAACCAAAGCCAATCAAAAACTATATGGAGGAATACGGTTGTTGTCAGATCTGTTTTCCATTGGAGAAGGGATCAGTAAAAGTCTGCCTTCGAGAGCTCATTGACCCAATATGCCGCGACATCGATCTGTCGAACCTCTGTGACAGCTGGTGCTAATGAATTGCCATCGACAACGCCTATTGGTGCAAGAACTCCTCCTCTGCCGCCACTTTCCTCTGTGATCCCCCTCTCCTCTTGATCCTCGACCCAATATCTTTCGTGTCCTTTGGCATGCACATAAATCGATTACCCATCTTAAACAAATTGAATTATTGAAGGCAAAGAACGCCCACAAATGGCTATGTTGACTTCGCCGAAAAATGGACTGAATCACAAGAGTCTCTGGCCCAAGGGAAGAAACATGCTCTTAAAGAAAACGCAAATGGAACTTTCCATTCTAATATCTCAATGGAGAGAATTTAGGTGAGATTGGTCAAACAGAAAAGAGAAATAGAGGTAAAAAATGATCCGAAAAAGATTCAACTGAAATGGTAGACATTAAAAGCTTTATTTATTTATATAATTTTGTTTTCTACTCTCTCTCTCTCTCTCTCTGAGTTACAACCTCAGTGGGTGGGAAACAATTAATGCTAGTTCAGTTTATCTTTTATCTGAAAATGGAAATTTTTACGCTAACCTACGCAGGTAGATTGGAAGTGTAGAGACTGGACAGAGCTAAAGATTTCAGTCAATGAGCGGTGCGTGTGGTTAAGAATTGTAGTTTGTGAACTCTTCATTATTTGCGATGGAAGAAGAAGAGCTGCAAAAAATACAATAACTAAGGTTGATTCCGCTGTCGGTGATGATTGTTTGTCACTGGCAGTGATGCTTGTATAGTCGGCCAAGCGGTTGGGGAGAGAGAGCATAAGGCTCATCTATGAGAGTAGAGAAGAGGAAAGGAACTGAAGGTTGAAGGCTTCTCACACACTTCAGCCCTTCACACAATACGGAGACACGTGGTGTGTCCTCCGAGTGTGTGAAAATTGCCTGGACGCAGCATGCTTGGACTGAAGTCAAACTCGTGGAATGAGGGCAATTTTGATATATTTAGAAAAAATAAATGATGCCCTAACGATTAGTCAATGGTAATTTTATAAACTTATATGTTTTCTGTTTGGGTCAATGACTAAAAGATGTTTTTGTCAAGTCCTTTAAAAATTTAGGGGTGGAATTTGTAAAAATGAAACTAAAGGAGAGGTTTTTATGATTATCAAAAATTTCAGGGACAGTTTTTATATTTTACCCAAATTTTTAAGTACATATTATATTTTTGTTTTGGTACTATAAATTTTTTGGGCAAATTTCATAAAGTATTCCTACTATTTAGAAATTGCCTTAAAGTAACCCAAAGTTTTCTAACAATGGACTAAATCTTGGGATGCAAACAAATCGGATCGGATTTGAATCAAGGTATATTTGAATCAGATCTAACACGCGTTCATGTCTAATTCGATTTAATCTGAAGATCTGATTGGATCAAATAGGACTCGATTTGAATTCTAATCTTAGCGGTAAGTCAAATCTTCGGATTTGATCTAGTTTGACTTGTTTTCTTTAAAAATTAATAAATTATTAAAAGAAAAAATAAAATACACTAATTTAAATGAAGTAAAAACAAAAAATTCAAGTTTTTTAATTATTTTCATCATATATATACATGTTTTTATAAATAAATAAATAAATAATATAACAAGTTTATAAAATATAATATAAAAATATATTTATAAATAAATAAATAACATATATCTATGTATTATATATATATTTACATTTTATAAATATATAATATATATCGGATCAGATAGGGGTAATGCAAATCCGATCCGAAGATCCGAATAGGGGTGATCCGAATTCGACCAACTAGGATCGGATCATGATCCGGTCCATTTGCATCCCAACTAAATCCTCTATTTTGTCGTTAGTGTCTGTTAGAGTTTTGTTACAATTCATTACATGTGACACCATGTGATGTATAAAGATTTTTTTAACTCAACATTATTCTTTTGTGGTTAATTTTTCTCTCTATTATTCTTTAGATTTTCAAATCTAAATCATGGTTGTGAAAAACTCTCTAACCATTTACAAGTTGAAATGCATGGAAAACAATGTTGCTTGTACAAGTTCAAACAAATGGCCCCAAAACTGCCACCTAAAGATAGAAGAGAGAAAAATCCCAAATAGGGGTTTCTTCTTGCATCCATCGCCTGAAAGTGTTTTTCTTTTTTTTTTCAATGATTATGCCCATTTCAAAAACTTAGTCTGCATCTAATAAGAAGTTATTTAGGTGTACCTCATGCCTTCATGTCTTTCTCTAATCAAGAATGTAAATGTTTGAAATAGGGTATGAAGAGAGAAGTAAATCGGGTATTGTTTTTTTATCAAAACTTACATTCATGGTAGGTAGCACCCCTCTTTTTTTGTATATTACCTCTATATGTAGTTTGAACCAACATATTGAACTGTGAAGCCCAATTCACTTAATTTTTCATTACTTGGCAATTCTCAGGTATTTAATTGGTTAACCCAACTACAAGGAAATTGACTTTATCAATGTGTTTCCCATGGCACAACTAATTA